ATGTTTATTCAGAGAAAGTACGTTTTTGTGTCTGATTTCGTAACTTAATTAATAGTTAGCACTAATTAATTAGCATATTTGAGGTCATCCCCAGGGACCATTAAGATTGACACTTAGTTCGTGAAAATCCGATCATTAGAACGAAAGTTATTCAGGGTGATATCTTTTTTTTTTTTGCGGACTGTACATACATTACATGAAATGTAAAATAAACTTTGTTGTATGTATTTTCTAGTTTAATTATTAACCTAATTGTTCGTATAATTACAGCCCGATAGACCGGAATTTTCGATAGTCCGGCACCGAGCTGGTCCCGAACGTGCTGGATTATCGGACTTCTACTGTATTTAATTTTCAACAAGTGCATATTCCGACTTTTTCTTTCCAATTTTCCTAAAAAACATTTTTATATAAAAGCTCTAAGATAAGATAAGCATGCAAAAGTGCTGATCAGAAAATATCTGGGAGACCACAAAATTAGCATATAAATTATATTTAGGTTGAATAAAAAGTGAAAAATACAGCAACTTGAACATGTGTTTCATGAATCATTATTACTCATCCAGAAAATAAAGTTGTGGATAATTAAAAGAAATCTTACACTGCGAAAAAAAAACATAGAAATTGCTATCAAAATTGTTAATAATCTTGAAGTTAACAAAATAAATATTGTGAAATAAAAAGTAGCATCAAAACCCATCACCTTTAAAATAAACTGGATAAATTATAATTACTTATTTACCTGTTGTGGTTAGGTAGTTCACTGATTAAATACTGAGTAAATCTTTGAAGTAAATTTGATAAATTATAATTGTTTATTTACCTGTTGTGGTAGTTCACTGATTAAATACTGAGCAAATTTTTGAAGCTGAACGCGGTGTAGACGAGATAAAGACTCTGACACAGGTGCTCGCAGGCGAACATGATTAGGCTGTAATAGAATCAAAATAAATAATAGGAATTTATATTTAAAAACAGTATTTTATACTTTTTAAACAAATAACTAAAATACTTACTTGATGAATTCTGGACAAACACACAGCAACAACATGAGAACACCAAGATGCGCTACTGACACAAGTACAAGTGCACGATGTAATACGGCAGCGATCAAAAGTAACTGCTACATTACAGGTACCTTTAGGGACTGATAGAGACTGGGGAGGGGTGATAGTAGCACTGAGATGGAACCCTAAGACAAAAAGTATTCTCCATAAGCAAGTTAGAAACTAAGGTTCTTCAGAAATAATAAAATTAGAAAAATTTCATAAGTGCCAGAAAATAAAATTGATCTATTATTTTAATAGGATTAGTTTTAAGAGAATCAACATAAATAATAAAAAATTATTCTTTAGAAACATAACAATTTCTAAAATTCTCCTAATTTGTGAGCTACAACACAAGTGAAAAAAACAAAAAAAATTTTTAAAATTTCAATGAGTCTGCTTTGAAGGATCAAAATAAAACTGACCTAAAACCAATTTCAAGAAACTGGTATTTTTATGAATATTTCATATATATATATTATTATTATTATTATTATTAGTGGGAACCTTGATTAAAATTTATAATGTCAAATTATTAGATTTTGTGAGAAAAAACATATAATAGAAAGAGAATGGAAACATGGAACATTTTCACTAAAAGGTGGAATTTTATAAAGTAATTGTAATAGAGGTTACAATTATTTAAATCTAATCTCAATAACTGATTAATGTTATTGACAATTCTGAGACTGGTTTTTTTTCCAGGTATTTAGGAATTTTCAAGTTTTTTGTAAAAAATTAAAACTTTCCCTGACTAGATTGTTTTTTAATTTATTTTCCTCGATAATTTCCAAAAAATTTAGTTTTTTTTTTCAGTAATGGCACTTATAGCATTAAAATTAAATTTGGCTTTCGAATTTCTTATCTAAGAGCGAATGACTTTGTTACGATGTTGGTATGTGAGGTGCAATACTGATAGTGGTGGGAATGGAATTCTTTTCAGATGATAAAAGGAATATGGAAAACATGAGAAAAGAAGAATATAGAAAGAATTAATAAAAAAAGAGAGATTTTTAAGTTAAATTACAACAATACATTATTGAAAAAGGAGAGGAAAAAACTGCCACAAGGAAAGAAAAAGTCTCCTAAATTGAGTTCAGTTAACGGAAGTATTTATCCGAAATCGGTTTGGATAATTGTGATTCTACTATATATACTGAATGAGCCACATAATTTGAAAATGATGAAAGCTGAATAGATAATTCAAAGTTTAGATGTGTTACACTAGACGTCAAATGAATAAAACATGATTATTTTGTTGCAAAATTTAGCTGGACAGTTTTCAAATATATATAATTATAATGTCTACAAATATTCAATAAATATATGGCTGACAAAAGCATGAATGAAAAAAATTATATAATGAGATAAATTTAAAACAAAACAATTCGCGATCGCAACGAACTATAGGGGGCGTTGTTGTATGAGACGCATACCTGCGATTTCTAGATGAACCGTCATTCAGTTACTCTGGAGACGTCTTTAATGTAGCGTGTAGCATTGNTTACAGGCTCCCGCTAGACGGCGTACTCGAGCGTTGCGATCGCGAATTTATGGAACATCAGAGAGTTGTTGATTTTTGATGAAAATAGTTTTTGTTTTGAATTTAAGTTTCACAATAACTCGTTTTGGGTTTTTCCATTTATTTTGCAAGGTTATTACTAACCCATTACAGATATTTCAATAAAATTTTGCTTAGTTTATGTGTGGTTGTCCAAATAAATGTTTTTATAAAGAAAGAATTGCTTCTTTAATGTAGCTTGATTTGTTACATAATCTATTAACTAATTCCCAATCATACATCAAATAATAAGTTTTATTTAACACTTAAAATTTGAAAGAAATTGATTTAAGTTGATACTGTATTTACTTTTTCAATACTTTTAATGTCCAATTAATAAATGTAAACAAATAAAACAAACAATTATTCATATTTTTACTTATAACTCTGTTTCTAAAAACATCATCAACTTTAACTCAATCGATAATAAGTAGACAGTAAAACAATTTAACATAAGAAACAGAAATGAAACTTTCTAAATGTAAAATTATTTTACCTATTTGCAAAAGTTCTTTAACAGCTCTTGCTTGATTTAAGTTGATACTGTATTTACTTTTTTAATACTTTTAATGTCCAATTAATAAATGTAAACAAATAAAACAAACAATTATTCATATTTTTACTTATAACTCCATTTCTAAAAACATCACCAACTTTAACTCAATCAATAATAAGTAGACAGTAAAACAATTTAACATAAAAAACAGAAATGAAACTTTCTAAATGTAAAATTATTTTACCTATTTGCAAAAGTTCTTTAACAGCTCTTGCTTTGTATAAGTGTTCCCCTCTCTGAAATTCATCTGCTGAGCCATTAGCTAAGCATGAATATAATCTATAAAAGAAAAGAAAAAAAAACATAATACAATTAGGTTTAAAATAAATGAACAATCATAAGCAATAAACTATTTAACAGTATTACTACTTAGGAGAATTCATACAAACATTTCTAAACTTAGAATCAACAGTTGATGGGTAAAGTAGCAATTAAACTTGAAATATCAAAGACAAATACACATGAAAATAGTTAGATGGCTGTTATAGAATTATACATATGAACAAAATCAAAGATTAAAAATTTTTACAATAAATAATTTTAAAAAAAAAATCCTTTTTGGAAAAAAACCCCCCCCTTTTTTTTCTTTATGCAAATACTTTCATTGGATGCAAATTAGTGCTTTCTAGGATCATTCTCATGGCCTGAGTAGATAGGGCACTTGTCCAAGACTTAACATTTTAAAGGCTTTATAATGTCTTGCATAAAATTTTAAGTTTTCAAATATTTTATTAATTTATTTAATTAATTTAGTTTTTAAACTTATTGTTTTAAAAAAGGGGGATATTTTTTATTGCACTTGCTTTACAGAAGTTTGTAATTTATTGGTTCATTAAAATTAAATCAATAATAATTAATTGAATTAAATTGAAATAAAGCCATTTAAAATAATATTTTAAGTTTGAATAGAGTTTAAGATTATTCGAGATTTACATAGGTAACTTTAATCAAAATACAAATAATAGAAATTTTATTAATTTAAGTTCATGAAACAATTTGATGATTGAAATTAAATTTGTAGATTACTAAAATTTTGCAAATATTTCATTAATTAAAACAATATAAATTACAAGTTACATAGAAAAATAGCCGCTATAGCATAGAAATTATAAAAAAAGTAAAATGCTCCTTCATATTGCATTCAACTGTCTATTAACTCTAATTAGAGTTGAGTTATTTCTACGGTGGAAAAAACCTCACAGAAAGAAACTCATTTTCCATTAGAAAATGCATATTTAGGATAATGCATTGAGTGATCTTACATGTTGGCTTTCCAATAGAAAGCCATTATGTATCTCCAGTAGAAAATGCTTAGTTAAGGTAATTTATAGAATGTTTCTACAAAATGGCTTCAAATTAAATTATTTATGATATATATTTCAGACATTTCTAAAATATTTAAAAATCTAAATACACCTTTCACTGCTTAATATAAGTTAGAATTTTTCCTTTTTAAGATTTTCAGATCAACAACAAACCCAATATGAAAATAACAAATTCTGACCTGGTTTCAAATTTAAAAAAATCCAAAATTATTCCATCATACATAGCTGCCAACATGGATGAGAAAAAAATTCAGAAGATTTTACAAAATAATATAAATTTTATGATAAATGCTGCTAAATGTACTAAATATTTTACACATGGGGAATTTTAAAGATTTTTACAGTCATCAAAATAGAAAAACTACAATATTTTCTTGTCATGATTAACATTAAATGAACTTGAAATGTTACACATTATGTTTAGTCATAATTTTGAATAGTAATAGGCATTTAATTTATCAAGATTAGATAATTAAAAGAGTTTTTAATTAATTAAAAAAAGGGACTAAAAATAAACTCAGAATTTTAGAACAAAAGGGTTTTAAACTGATTTTTATAAATGAGACTCGCTTCATTATGTATTAATAACACTTATTTAAATATTCAAGCAAGCAATAATCTGCGCAAAAATTCTATTTTAATAGGGAATTTTTAAGGAAATTTACTCAATTCTAGGAAATTTTTAAAAATGTACAAAAACAAGGAGAGTTTTTATTAATCCAGTAGGCCAGGAAAAGCTGGCAAAATCCAGTAGTTTACTGGAAAACTCAGTAGAGTTGGCAGCTATGCATTAAGTCATTTATATAGGTATCAACGAAAGCATAAACACCGAAAAAATATGTAGCCAATAAATAAATTTATTTAAATAAGAAGAAAGAAAGAAACATAAATAAATTACACATCGTAAGAATGTTACCTAATGTCTTCTTCATTTTCAGGAAAGCTCCAAAAAGCAATACGTAGCTGTAACTGTTCTGGAACAGGTGGGCAGACATGTTCCACCACTTCAAATGGGATGTGAAAAGCTACAACTCTAGCAGAAAGTTCTACGAGTGACATGAGCTGTCCATCTACAAAAAAAAGGTAAACTGGCTGTTTTAATATTGATCAAAACTTAAGAGGCAGAAGTAGAAATTATAAAACAGAATGAAAAACATGTAAATTTTTTTTTTTTTTTAGAATTATATTAGTCAAAATATTTAGAGATCATTCTAAAAATAAAATTCTAACTAATATCATCACTTCATCATGTAAGAAGCTAAATTTTTTAATTTCTAGAAAAAAAAATTGGCAATAAGTACTAATTTGTTTACGCCATGGTTTTTATTCAATGAAAGCAATTTCATTTTTTTTGGCAGTTTGATTGAACTACTACTAGATGGTATAAGTTAGAAATTTTAATGGAACAAATTTCATAGCCTTTCCCCATACATAGACATTGTTCTTTCAATAAGCCATACATATAATCACATTTATGTACCCTTGCAATTATCATAATATTTCTTGGCAGACATCCAGATCTAATACCTGCTTTAAAGTTTTTATTTACAAGCAATAGAGCAAATGAAACTTTAAAAAAAATATTGAACAGAGCCAATTTCAAGGGCAATACACGTAGTAACTGCCAAGTAAGACATTGTGTATATTTTTTTAATTTCAAAAACCCTATGGCGCCTTTACGATTGTAGTTGAAGAAACGGGAATCAAAATAAAATATTCCCATATCTTTATTAGTCCAAAATTTTCTGAATTTCATTTCAATACACAATGAATAATTAAATGAGAGTCCCAAACATAGTCATTCTAGAACAATTAACATAACAGCTCTCAAATTAATACATACTGAAATGCAAAAATTCGGTAAAAGATAAATTTCATTTCAGTCTCCAAGTGAAAAAAACAAAATTAAAAAATTTATTTAACATCAGCATTTTTAGCACAGAGTTGAAACAGGTTTATTAAGCATATTTTCTATCATAACTTACCAAAATGAGATATTCCTAATTAGATAGAATTCAGATCACAGGATTAAAAGTTATTATACAGATTACCCAATGTGGAAAAGTTACACAGCAAAAGTTAATTATGACACAACAAAATATTAAATAAAACACAAGAAAGTTGAAAAGTTACATACCAGACAAGAATTAGAAATTCCTATTTAGTTAGAATAATTCAGATCATGGGATTAAAAGTTATTATGCATGTTACCCAAAGTTGAAAAGTTATATACACAGCAAAAGTTAAAAATGGCCCAACAAAATATCAAATAAAACAACACAAGGATGTTGAGAAGTTACGCACCAGAGCCATTTACGTGAGAAGACTGCTGCCCAATAAGAGTACCAGGCAGAGCAGAACTGCTATCTTCAGAAGATCGAACCTGAAGAGCATTTTGAACAGAAGATACATCTGCAAATAAGAACAAATATTATTGTTGTACAGTTCTCAGAGACGTTCCATTCAAATTAGCTATCAGTTATCAAAAGTGCAAAAATATAGTCAATTGAAATTAGCAGCAACACAATTTAAGTTAGCAGAATTTTAAGGTGTATGCAAGGTGTAACGTAAATATTGTGATGAGCATCTAGGTGAAGTATGTCATCAAAAGGATTAAGAATTACTTAAGAAACCGTGACCGGAAATGTCATCTTACCCTGCTACGGGTGCTTTCCTATTATGGGCAGGTTATTCATGTGACTTTGAACTTGCACTTTTATTTTTCTAATATATTTTAATTTCATGTTACTATTAGTTATAGTCAAAAGTTCCATTGAAATATGCTCAGAAATGCTGTTTTATCGTAATTTAATAATTAGACAAGCTTGTCCAGTTAGTCGCCTATAGCACAGTTAAAAAAAGGTGAGGTTTTGTGCATGCATTTTGTTATAAGGGAAGAAATTTCGGAACATGAATTTTCTTGACTCCGAAAATGAAATCCCAAACATAAAAATAGATCAAAGTTTAAAGCAAAATAGGTGATTATAGTTATTTTCAAGGGACAATAAATTATTACAAAACTTAATCATAATCTATAATTAAAGAATAAATGCACACAAAATAAACAAATGATAAAAAAAAATAATACACTGAAATCTGGGAGCAAACATCATTAAAATAAAAGAAAAAAAACTTTGAAATTAAAAAATTACCTTAAGTAAATGGTACTTTCATTAATATAATATATTTCCATCATATATGAGTATTACAAAGAAAAAAAACAATGCTTTCATTGTAATTTGATGGACAAGATAAAAAAATTTACTACTCAAAAATGTTAGTAAGTTTATATTTAACATCATTTTCCAATTGTTAATTGGATAAACTAAGAAAAAAATTTCGACAGAAAAGAAAGCTGAGTTTCTTTTTCATAAGATGATCAAAAGATTAATACAAGTTTAGAAAAGAAAGGGTGGTCCTAACGATGAGTAAAATTGTCTTAATTCGAAATATCGTATGTTTGCGACTTTTAAAGATTATTAAGTTCTATCTTTATTAAATAAAGTAAAAAATTGATATAAACATTCAACACGACTATGTTCTGAAGAGTATGAAAACTTTACAATCAAAAATTAGTGTGTAGCCTTAAATTTCTATAACTATTTTTATTACAGTACAGAACCCGTTATCCGGAAATCGGAAAACCAAAAAACTGGAAAGAAATTCGATAAATTTTCTCGCCATTTAAAAAATTTTTTATTTTTTTTTCCCTCATAAGATTTTAGGATTTTTCGTTCTTTTTTGAAAGATGTTTACCTTACCATCATTTTGGAAATAATCATTAGTGTATTACTCCATCGTATTTTCTTCTTTTTAAGATTATTTCCGAAAAAGTTTTTTTTTTAGTTGGCTTTAACAATAAAAAAACGGCTTTTCGTAGCGATTCAGAAAACCGGAAAAATCAGTTATCCGGAATAGCGATGGTCCCGATCGTTCCGGATAANGTGTATTGCTCCATCATATTTTCTTCTTTTTAAGATTATTTCCAAAAAAAAATTTTTTTTTTTTAGTTGGCTTTAACAATAAAAAAACGGCTTTTCGTAGCGATTCAGAAAACCGGAAAAATCAGTTATCCGGAATACGGTTCCCTACTGTACTATAAAAAATTTGGTCATCTTCAGTAGCCTATGCGTAAGACACCTGCTATACATGATCTTGGGGTAAAGTGCTTGTTACTAACTTAAGATGAAAAGGGGTATAAAATGACAAAAATAGAAAACGATTCTGTAAAGGGTGTAAAAAAGGGTGAACTTAAATAAGAAGATTTTTGTTCCTATACTGATTCAGCAATAATTAGTTCTTCTGTTTGAAAGAGGCAGATAAAGAAGGGATTTTCACTTCAAACATGTTATAGATTTAACCTTAGAATAAAAACATACAAGATTTGACATTGATAAGTCTAGATTTTATAAGTTCTTATCTAGTGAAAGAAATTTTAAAAAAATCCACGATTCTTTTAAAATTGCATGCTCATTAAAATGGCATGTTCATTATATGTTATAAACAATAGGGAAAAAATCAAGAATATCAGGATATAATGCTAAAAATCAAGGTATATAAGAAGAGAATATTTTTTATTAGCAATATGAGGACAACTACGAACCCAGAGATCCGTTCAGTAGAACCGGACCTCAGACCTCTTAGTAGGGTGACCTGGGATAATTCCTGATCAAAAAATGCAAACATCTATTTTGTGAAAAAGCTATTCAAGATAGAATTTTAATATTTACTGGAAATTTGAGGCTATATGGGATGAGTCCTATGCTACCTTCTTTTGTTTGAAAATCTAATTAGAATTTAAAAGATCTTAAATTTTTAGTGATCAGGAATTACCCCTTCTCTTGATCATTTCCGGGGTAATTCTTGATCATTTCTGGGGTAATTACTGATCACCAGTTTTTATAGTAAATGGGCTGTTTAAAAATAATTATACAATGGTAATTAACAAATAAGACATTAAGATCAAACAAATAAACCAAAAAGATATGTTTAAGCTGCTAATAAAACGTTTTATTTAAAAGCAGGAATAAAGATTAACTCTTCAGCTCTGGCAGCAGCTCTCACACTGAAATTTTCATTTTCAATCATTAAAAGAAATTCACTATTTTTGCTTTCTAGAAGCTTAGTATCCTTTTTAGGCTTATAATTTCTCACCATATTTATATTAGGTTAATTTATCAACTTAAAAATTATTCTAACAATGTACACACATAAAATTAAGATAGAAGAAAGGTAAGACAAGCTAGAAATGGTGCATATCAGAACACATTTGTCTTGTATACAGTTAAAAACAAATTTTGTGATTACAGTTAAAATATATTTTATAGTTGTTCCACTTAATAAATATGAACTGTTATTTAAGAAAAGACAATTAACTATTTATTAGCTATTTTTTATACTATTTATAAGAAGAAATGACAATGATCAGGAATTACCCCAGTGATCAATAATTACCCCATCTGTAGGGGGCAACATTTGATATAGTTTCCTATAATCAATTATAATGTTTACAGTAGATGTGAAACAATTAAACAAAAGCTTACACTATTTTTATATCAAAGAAAAAGAAAGTAACTCAAAATATTTATTATAAAGAGAAGGAGGGGGATCTTTGCAGAAATATGCACATTTTGAAACCCATCTTTGAAATGGAAAATGCAGAAAGCATTTTAAAAGATACTTATTTTGTTAGATTAAACAAAAAACTATTATTAAGTGAATATAGTTATACTTTAGTTAAGTGCACAAGCTTTCTTGTCCATGTCTCAAATGTAAAAAAAATAAAACTTAGATGATCATTATTTACCCCAGAAACAGAGTGATCCTGAATTACCCCGGGTCACCCTATCAACAGTTTAATATTCTGTAATATATACTGCAGTTTTTTAAAAATTTTATATTTATTTTAATTACAATCGATCTTTATAACACAGCCCTTGAATCCTGGGGCTTAGCATTTTATGAAATTTTGTGTTATATAAATCATTTCCCTTAACTTTCAATTTACATTACGAAATATGGTAATATTAATCTAAAATTGATCAGTAGTAAAATGCTTTAAAATTATTTTTTGATACAAATACTTAAAAATACAAAATATGCACTTAAGCCCTAATTATTATATCCGAAAAAAGAAAAAAAAATAGAAATTTTCTGCAGCATTAGAAATAGGAACAAACTAATTAATCAATTTGAGTTCCGTCAGCTTTTGAAAATTTAACCTCTTCACAAATAATATAAAAAGTTAATAGTTCTTTCGTAGTTATACAAATTTCTTTTCTGCATAAACCATACAACAAGGGTAGTGTGGTTTATACAGAATTGCAGTTTGTAAAATTGTGTTAGATACGTCTTGCACTAAAAAATGCAAAACTTAAGTCACAAAAATGATTTAATTTGAAAAGAAAATAATAAAAAAACTTTTTGCGATTTTCTTTAAAGCTAGCACATAATGAACTGGATCAAAATTCTCCTAACAGTTTTTTAACAAATTAATAACCAAATCAACAACAAAGGTATAAAAAAAAATTCCCTGAATAACAGTGTTATTTATTTCAATATAAAAAGTCACCTTTTAGCTTTGAATGTAACAAATGATAAGTCCCAGAACTGTTGCCGTTCTGTTTCTTCCAGCCACGCCAGTTGTTGCATGAACTCTCTGGCTCGCTAATCCATGAGCACAAGGAGTCTTCTTCGAACCGATCACTGTCTTCAAATGAGAATCTATCTCCTTCATCCCAATCAAACATTCCCCCAGCCTCTTCAGGCCTTCTACTGAGGAGCTCCAGCTCAGACAGATTTAAGCCGTTCTAATTCACTTGACCCACAAAAAGTCAGACCATCAGCTTATGTAAAATTTAAAAATAAAATATAAAACCACAGAGAAAAACTCCAAACACTTATCTGTCACTGAGAACTGCTATAAATAGGCACTTAGATTAACATATATGTACAGAGAAATAGATAGATAAAATGTTTAAGCAATGTCACGATTACTGAGGACAAATTCTGTGGTGTCCAAAAGACACTGATTTAATCCACTCCCAGCAGAAAACATTAACATGATCTAGACCCTGTAATAAAATAAAAAAAATATTTCAGATACATGCAATAAAAGCAAAATATATACTTAAAACATTTCAATTTTAATAACTTAATGCTAGTTTTCCACAGATGAGAATAAATCTTTAAATCTAGAATTTTTAATAAATATGAAATGACATTTCAGATCACTGATAACACAGACATCTTTAAGTAAAAAAAAAGAATTTCCACTCTAATTGGAAGATCAGGGTGGTCACTCAAATCAGACTTCAAATTTCCTTGATTTTTCCAGTAAAAATCTTAAAATTTTCAGGTCAGCATGCTTTTTTTTTTCTTTCTTATCATAAAGTGTAGGTGGGTACAAGAAAATTGTCAATATTATAAAGTATTTTATTTAAAATTTTATTTTTTTAATACATCATTTTGAAAAAAAGAATTAGACTAAATTTATTTTAGCAACTTAACAAGATTTAGTTCTTTGATTTTTAAATTTTTAATGTTTTGGCACAACATTAATTTTTAAAAATTTAAGATAGATGTGGAGAAAATATGTTCAGCTTGTAGAATATATTGTTTTTAATGAATAAAAATGCTTTAATGTGTTAAGTGGTTTTTTTCACAAAATGTAGAAAATACAGAGCAACACAAAAAACCTTGGATAAGTACGGTTTAATATATTTTCATTAAACAAAAGAAAATATTTCAAGGCAATTATACATTAATAAATTTTTATTTTAATTTACCTTTAAATATAGAGCCATTTTATACTGTATTTTATCCAAACAGTGCTCGTTATAAAATTTATTGATACAATTCAATTTTCTTTAAACCAATATTTAAAGTCAAATGTTTAAATGACGTTTGTTTTGAATAGCATTATTATTTTAAGAGATTTTCAGTATTCACAGAGACAAAATTGTCAAATTTCTTGTTGAATATTCTATAGAAAAAAAAAAACCATATAAAGTTCTTTAAATTTTATTATTTTTTATTTTATCTTATTTGAAATTAGAACATTTAAAGAATTCTAATCTAATCACATGGTGTCCTAGTTTAGATTAGTTTATTGCTTTTGTTGTTACAACTGCCCAATTCCTTGGTGAATTTCTCAGAAAAACTGTCTCATAAAACATAAGATTATAATCCTCAAATTTTTATATCAAATATTTAGTACATAATAACCTATCAAAAAACAATTTGTTTTATAAAATCAGATTAAAATGAATTCAAACTAAATAGATTAAATTGTTGGTGTTGGATGTAAATCGCACGAAAGCAAAAAATGGTTACTTATTTACAAATTGCCTATAACTTTCGTTTGTAATTTAAATGTAAATTTGACTGAAATTTGAATAAAAAATTATATGTAACTCTTAACTTGTAAAATACGATACATAATTAATTTGAAATTTTTTACTTCAGTGTCAGATGCAAATTTTTAAAGTTGGATACAATTTTAAGTTAATCTTTTGCTTTTTTTTGTTGTCCTATGCCTGTTTAGGCAATTGGGGTGCGATTGCTCCTGTTTTTCAGTGGCGCCATCTATGGCCAGGAATTCAATTTCTGCCATGCCATTCACATAACCACAACCTGTTTACAGAGCGGGTCACATTCACACACAAAAGAGAAAGGACATAGAACACACAGAGAAAGAAAGAAACATCCATGCCTTGCCCGGGATTCGAACCCAGGACCTTTCTGAAGCAAGGACAGTTCCCTGCCCCCTACACAGGCCTGTTGGCAACCTTTTGCTCACAGCTGGTATAACAGGTAGCCCAGAATGGCTGGCTTCATCATACTAAGAGCGATAAGCAAAGGGTTAATCATAACCATTATAATGACGGAAAATTACCTTAATTTTAATATCATAAACATTATTTTTTTTAATTAAATAGCTTCTTTAGATTTACATTGTCTTCTATTTCCTGTTGGAATGGATAAATCAATGTCTTTTATAACATTTTCAATCTTGTAAAAGTTAGTTGAAAAATCACTCATTTTAATTTTAACTGTGCAAAGTATATTAACAACAATGTAAATAGAACTCATATTTAAGCAATATTTCCTTAAATTTAATAATTTCAAAAATCCTTAAATAAAAAGACTTTCGCTAAATTGTTTCTGTTTAAAAAAAAAATTGGAAAAAAAGCCCAAACGATTCGTTATTTTCATATACAATAAAAACAAAATTAGTATTGAAAAAAATATTACTGTACATTAAAAGAATGATTTTTTTTCACTGTATTATTAGTCTATAACAATTTTTTCTCAGAAAAAAAGATCTTTTCACAAGGGAAAGTGATAATTTGATAACTTTATTTATTGCCTGTATAAAGTTCAAAAAAAATTTTTTTTTACAGTTTTTACTATCTATTGTATCTGATGTTTCAAAGTAGAGGATATTAATCGATATACATTTGATTTGTATTTAATGACATGGCTAGTGGTGAACAAGAATAGAGCATATGTTTCTAGTTGTTGCATTAGAATGTGCCAAATTTATGAAAAAAAATTTCATATGAATTCCAGAATAAATTTTTATCTCTTTTTCATACCCATTCTCCAGTTTCATTTACCAATTACAGGCTCTATAATTAATTAATAACAATTTTTATTCCGTTTACCTAGAAATTGAATAGAATGTGTGGTTATTGTTGTAGTTTGCTATGCATGTAGGTTTATTATTTTTCAAATTACTTTTTGCAAATTGGTGAAACAATAAACATTTATTCTTCAATTAAAAACACTAAACATCTAAGTGTAATAGAAACTACATACTTTAGTAGCATATACTGCTCAGTTTTTTACCAAATCGAATTAATGTTTATATAATGACGAGTTATGTTAATTAAAAGTTGTAGTTCCCTTAAGTCTGTCACATATGCATATAAAATTATTTATATATAGCATTATATATCTTTCACTATCTGCCTCCGCAACCCTGATTTCTCGTCAGTGTTTAAAAGCGAACTTATTGCAATCGAACAAGGTCTTGAAACCATTCTCAATGAGCACGACTTCAGAGACCTCTGGACTCCTTCAGATAGTCGTAGCTCCCTTCAACACCTTAGATAGATAGATTTAGAGGTTGGGCAGCTAAGAGTAGGGCACATCAACCAGAGGTCTATTGTACCCAAACTTTAAATCATGATTAACAAGAAGCCTTATGGCTGAAATGAAATTCAGCAAACACCTTACAGGAACATCTTGCAGTTCCCAGGCTTTAAGGCAGTGTAGCCCTAAATGCTCACATCTTTGAACAGAATAGATCTCACAATCGCAAAGTATATATATCGTGAAGCCTCCTCTTCAAGATGATAACCTCTACAAAGAGGATTAGATTCGATACCCATTACATATAGGTGTCTCCTGAGGATGCAGTGTCCAGTGAGAAGACCAATGATCTTCCACAAACTGTTTCTGTTTAGCTTAAGAAGCTCTTTCTGACATACACTGGGACAGCCACGATTCAACACCTTAACAGCTGGAGATACAACTAGCATTTCTATTCTTTGTAAACTTATTTCAGAGGTCCATGATGTTCATTTTTAGTGGATTCCATCTCACGCTGATATCTATGGAAATAAGCAAGCAGATCGCTTAGTCAAGGAGGGTTGTAGTCACTCTACACCTTCCTCTTCGGCCCTTAACTACCCAGAACATCAACCTAAGGTTAAATCTGAAATTTCAAAGGAGTGGAAGACCCCTCCCTGACACCACTGGAATGCGAGCAAAGAGCAAGGCTCTTCGTTTGTTCTCACCTATGACAGAGTCTCACGAATGGCATTTTCAATAGTAGTAATTGGACACACAAACAGTCTCTCGTTCTCTGAGGGCAGCAGGATCCTTGCAGTCTGCTCGAAATATCAAGCTCAGCAAGACACACTCTGAACTGCTTGGGTCTTTTCTCCCCTTCTGGTTCTTGATTTTCTGAGGGTTATCGGTCAAATGGATCTTGTCTGACTTTGTCAGACAGATGGAGGATAAGTCAAAACATCTCTCAGGGTGTCGAAAAAAACTGAGTTTGTCTCCAGTGACATGAGCTCTAACTACGCCTTTGTTTGTATTAGCAAGGTTTGGTACTTTATATCTAAATGCATATGGTAATCTTTTAACAAACATTTGTGCTAACCTAAGTATAAGCATGAGCTTAAACACAAGAACGGTTTCTGACTATGGGCCCAAGTTACTTTTCTAAAAAAAAATAAATAACTACAGAATGCTTTGAAATTTATTTTTCTCTAAATACATACACTTTTCAAGCTCTAAGCAAAATGGTTGATTTAAAATGTTCTAAATAAAATTAAATTGTTTCTCAAAAAATTAAAACTGAGTTGCTTTCAAAAAGAAATTAAAAAAATAGATAAAAACTTCATTGATCAATTTTAAGCTTTAATATAAATAACTTTAAGTACATAGTTAAACAAATTTTATTAGGCTACTGAGATAAAATACATTATTGTAAATTAACCTAAAAGAATATTTAGATGGTTTCTATTCATATCTCACTTCATTTTATAAAGAATAAGTGAAATAAGAAATGGAAACAAATAAAAACAAATGTAATGAAAAGGGTGCCTGATGTAAAAATAATTATTATTATTAATTTACAATAAAAATATTTAGTATTTTCAAAATCAAAATCGAGTATACAAATGAGACATAGAATCTTGCTTTAAACAGAAAAATAGTTTATGTTAAATTCTAGTGGCACAGTGCAATTAATTATGCATTTTGGTGTCGGATGTAAAATATCAAAAGTGTATCTTGAGAATTTTTTTTTTGTAAATCAAAATGTGAAATGTTTTAACACATTTGCGCAAGATATCCTGTTTTGCTACAATTTAATTATTAATTTTTCCATTCACTATTATTAGTGTAAATTTTAAAAAAAAAACTGTACTTGTTAGAGATTTACTTATCATGGTTAAAAATTTCAAATGATGTAACCCTTCATTTAACAGCCTATAACTTATAGAAAAGATATTTATAAGTTAAAAGTCATTTTCTAAATCTTCAGTTTTTAACC